ATAACTGATCGCTAAATAGCAACTACCACCTTTCCTAAAAATGTATTTGATGTAACAAAACATTTAAAGACCATTTACAAACCCAACTAAGCCTTGGTGTACAGTTCAATGAAATGCCTTTTAGTTTTTTAGCGTATTAGGTGAATATAAATAATATATATACATATTTCCTATTTACTGCTTTTGGCCTACAGATGGTGAGTTTAAAAAAATTATTTCTCTAGATATCTGCAGGACTAAAACTAGCTAATGTTGTAACATGGATTTAAAAACCAGCAAACATCAGATTACAAGGACTGCATACTTTTTTACAGGAAGGACATGACCCTACTCTCTTGCGTAGCAGAGGCAGGTCTGGCAGGCTTAGTCACTTATACAGATGCTGCCATCATGCATGCAGGCAGTGTATGGCGCATCCTCTGCAAACTGGGTGTCTTAGAAGTACCCTGTATTAGCATTCTATTTTAGAAAACACTTCTGCACACCAATCCAAAAGTGCTAAAGGTACTAAAGGTGAATCTCTAAATTCACTCAACTTGTCCAGTCAATATTTTATGCAGTATTAGTTGTTCCATCTTACATTTTTAACTGATGCATGATGAAGTATAAAAGATTTATATTTGCCCTCAGAGTTAGCGTTACTTACTTTGTCTGAGCCTAACAGTTCAGCTTGAATGTCAGGAGGTCAGAGATCAAATGAATTCCGATGGTAGTTGCCCTGCCAACTTTCTGTCCTCACACACTCTTCCAGGTCTTGAGATTGCATAACATTGTAAAATGACAGACCTCTGTAGTTGAGAGCATAGTTAACAACTACAGGTTCTGTTATTTGATAGTGTTATGTATTCTTTCAACTGTGATACAGCGTGTGTGATCTGTCAGCTGACTGGGTGTGTTCAATTGCAATAGATGCTTTGCAGTCAGGATTCGGAAATGATACGGCACTGAAACTTGTTTATGCATTGAATGACCTATTGATGCCAAGAGACAAGAGTGAGTTCTCTTTCTTATTTGTAGCACTGGATAGAGTGGACCATGGAACAGCCTGGTTTCTATGGTGTCTCACAGATAGCTGTGTTGTTTCTGCCTCCTATAACACTATAGTTTGGACTTCTACAATTGTGTCCCTCAGTATCCAGAATCACTGTCTGTGTATAGGCTTCACCCCTGCCTGCTGTTTTATCCAGCACCTTGGTGCTGCAAACAGCCTCCTGAGTCTGTGCTGGTGCACTACAGGGCCGCAACCTGGAAGGTATCCAGCAGCCAATCATCCTCACCATTAGAGGCTCTGTGGAAGACATGGCCCTTCATAGATCCTCCGTCTCCCCCAAAACACACAGACTCTTAGTCTCCAAGCATCCTGGGGAGCTTACATACCCCAGTGCCCCAGACCCCAGATTGTGACAGATTTATTGAGCATTACCTTTACAATACTGTTTTAACATTTAGGATGTTTTATAAAGTGCTTTTAGTCCTTAGGGAGAAAAGCCCTATAACAATATTATTATTATTATTCAGAACATAAGAAGTTTGGACAAGATTGTTTCCTTAATTTCCGGGATTTGGCTTGGCTTTTACTTATACATCCAGAACCCGGTCTTATCTCGTCTGTAATTTCAGATGCTTTTGTGCCAGCCCCAGAGTTTAAACTTTTTCTGACTGCACCAGGCACGGTCTGAATGTCAGCTGTCCCTTAGCAAGGCTGTCTTGAGGACCCCAACTCTTGTGTTCCCCTGCAGCAAAGTAAAACTCTCTGTAGTTTTAAAACTGGTGTTCCCATTGTATGAGTTTATTAAGTGATGCAAAAAGCTCCCCACTGGATGTAATAATAAGGGAACACATTTTTTTTTCTCGGCCTTTTTCTTGTAAGTCTTTTCATTATGTCTCTTGCAATGCTTATGTTTTTACCTGCTTTGCTAAAGTTGTTCTGGAGAGCAAGGAAATATAATTCTCTTCCAGATTTAGATACTAAACATATATTCTTTTCATGTTTTAATTTTGTTCCTTCAAGGACCAAGTAAACAACATTTCAGATCTGTCATCAACAAAGGCCAATATAATCTACGTCAGCTGTTCTCTGGTTTTGATTTTTTGCTTTGACCAACTCCAAGCACTCCAGTGGCTTATATCACACCCTGAGACTTTGTTGATTATGTTCTACAAAATGTAGACTCATGTACAAAGAAATTCCATCAGTCACTTCCAGAGTTCAATTTTTCAGACATTCCATCCTTTGCTAACATGGTCAATGATATGAAAAGCAAAGAGGAAAGGGCCTCTTCGCTGTCCTGCTCAAATTCCACAACAAATACTCTTATCTCTGCATCTTTATAACCCTCAATTACAGTGACCTTTTTTTCATTCACGTCCCTTTATTCCTTCTTGTTACTATTCTGATGCTGAAAAATAAAGTTACCAATGCATGAGGTCAAATTGTCACATAAACCCAATGATTATGACACTCCCATGACAACAGGCTGACTGCAAAAACAGAGTAAACGATCATAGTAGGTGCACACAGCACATTAGTCAGGCGGTTTCAAATATCTTTTGGTAATTATGTTTAATTTGTGCTGATTAGGTAGAAAATAAGGTATCACACAGCAACTCAACAGGAACTCTCCAGTTAGTTTAAAAGATGATTGCCTATGTGGACAGTCATTCCTATTGGTCATTTTTAAGGTATGATTCAGTCTACAATAAAAATTGTGCCTAAATGATCATTATTTCTGCAGTTTAATCTAAGCATAGCTGTAGCGCATTAAGGTCTGTGTCCAAAAAAAACGACTATGTGGACATCAGTCTGATGTTCTCTAAATACCATCTTGTGAATAATTTAAATAAGGCAGATTCAATTTTTCAAATCCACCCCCCGCAGTCTTCATAAGGATTGAAAAATGCATTCAAGTCAATCAAGTAAATTACTTAATTTTCAAGCATCTGTTCATTTTCTTGGTCACCTCCCCAGACCTAGCTCTTTCTTCCTCTCTCTACCTATCCCACTTGAACTCCCTCTTGGCACATCCCCACTCTTCCTCTGCCAATCCACACTCCTCCAGGCATTCCTTTTACTTCTTCATTGTTCTGGGTGTCTGACTTATTCTGTCATTCAAGCAGATGGATCATCCCTACTGCCTCATAACAGTGTTCTACTGGCCAAGCACCAGCAAAAAATGCTTCAGAAAGGCACAGGCCTACATATGTTAGAAAGCTAGCAGCATAGCAACTACCTGTTGCAGAACTCTGATTAAAACTAGGGTTTTTTTTGTTTCTAAAATATTGTACATTCTGGTAATCAACTAGGTAGGTAGGTGCAATTGAAATCCCTTAGATGCCTTAGTAGGCACTTAAGAATGGTTTATTTGCCACACTTTAAAACCGTCTGATTGTGCACATTAGAAAAGCGTGCCCAAAATCATGTTTATGAACAAGCAGAAGTGAGCAAGTAAGGAGCATAATATATACTCCTAATCCAGGTTTCTAAGGATGGATGGTTGGACATGTTATCCTATCCACAGTTTATGAGGACTTTGTATTCTAAATTTACAAAGGTTTACATTTTTATTGTGGGATAAACCGTAGTATTATCAGCCCATAAAACACATACATACCTTCAATGTTCCTCTGATTCTTGTTATTCTAGATATGATCTTTCAGTTGCACCACCCATACCCGATCAAGTGTGATCTTCAAAGACAGCAGAATGCTTGTTCTGGATCAGTCCAAGCCTCAGTCCTTCCATTGGCTCTACTCACTATCAAACTTTATAGGAAAGAGTTTTGGCAGACAGTATGGGCAGTTTCACAGCCAAAAGTAATTTGTGTAGCTGAACCATAAAACTCTCCTTCGAAGCATCTTGTTTCAATCATTTTGCAGCCAAGCATTGATCTCCGTTTGACTTTGGAAATAGATGTCAATAACTGCTGACTTTTTTGGTGGTTATAAACAAAATTTCTAGGCATTTTTTGGAATTAGATGCATTTCTAACAATAAATATTGCCTGTTTGTTCAAAACGTGGCCTATTTAGCTTGCTGAAGACTGCAAATTTCCCATGTAGTGTGCCCAATTCTAGCGTTGTAATTTCTGGTTGTTAACACACAAGCAATAACAAGTATGTATGTCAGTGCCTGTGATTGATTTCAGAGACCTTCTCTCTGATGTGCTGTAAAATCTCTGTAAATAAGGCAGAGTCATTCACCTTTCCTCTTTAAAGCGGGAACAGCCATTTTACTGTGACAATACTGAAGTCCAGAAGTGCATAAAAATGTTCAATCTCTGCTATTATGTATTGGATTGTGTAACACAGGGCTAGAAAAGTCTTTCAAGTTTCATTTTCATTCTGTCCCCTCAATTCCTGTGTTAGTAACGCATGAGGCATTTCTGTGAGCTGAACTTCATTCATTTGCCCCTTTAGTGATTTCTGAAATAAAGGATAAATAGCAATGAAGGATATACATTAAAGTTCCATTCACAACAGTGCACTAGTGTGCATTGTGCACGTGCACTGTGGTGTGTTGTAACAATGCATCATAGTGTTTACTTAAAAAAAACACCATCTAACTCTATGCACATAAAAATGCAGCAATGCAAACCAACGAATGCAGCACATACCAACACACTTTAGCAACTCAAGGCACCTGTAGTGAACGAGCCCTATGAATAATTGCATCCAGTTTGTATGAAAGGGAAAAACCTGTATGTCTGTTAGGAGATTTATTTCTCATTCCGAAGCCTATTCTTTAACATCAGTCATATTATTGTCATTGCTGCTAAAGAAAAGCTGCAGGTTGTTACTCCGTTTATTGTTTTTTGGAAAACACTTTCTATTTCAAAGAAAATAGCGGTAAAAACTCATTTTGGAAAAACAAAGTAAAATAAAAAGTATATATTACAAAGCAACAACATTTCTTTTTGTCTGCTGCCCATCTAATACGGCGCTTGGATTGCTTTCTTTTATGTAGTTCATGTATATAAGTAGCATTCTCTGTTGTCTGTGCAGTTGTGAGCCTGGAGAGCAGATCGATGCATTTGAGCACACTGGTAGAGGAAGCCCAGCAGCGAATGAATGAACTGTCAGCCAAGATACAGATTGAAGGTTTGGGAATAGACAGCAGTGAGAAGGAGAAACAGCTTAAGTCTTGGGAGTGGAGATATCGCTTGTACAAAAGAATGAAGACTGGTTACGAACATGCAAGTAAGTCGTTTTCACATTATATTAATCCTACCAAATATGTTATTTAGTTACGGGTTAGCACTGGTCGGCTTACAGTAGAACTGTGACCAGGCTGTGTAGTCAACCTCCCTGGACAAAAGTAATTGTCATCAATTGTTTATTCCATATTTCATTAAAAAAATCAGACTTTGCTTTTGATTGTTGATTCAACAGAAAAACAAATGAAAATGACATAGACATAAATGATGAGACCATTAACGTAATATTTTGTTGCACAACCTTTAGAGGCAATCACTACAAACATGTGATTTTCTGTAGCTCTTTTGCACCTGCCAACAGGTGGTTTGGCTCACTCTTCTTGAGCAATCTGCTCCAGCTATCCGAGGTTTGAAGGGTGTATTCTGCATGTTTAAGCTATTTCTGTAGATGTTCGATAGGATTAAGATCAGGGATCATAGAAGGCAGCTTCAGAATAGTTTGTTTTATTTTTAGCTATTTTTGGGTGCTTTTAGCTGTGTCTTTTGGGTCGCTATCCTGTTGGAGGACCCCATGACCCATGATTGAGACAGAGCTTTCTGACAGTGGACAGTACGTTTCGCTCAAGAATTCCTTGATAGTCATGACATTTCATTGTGTCCTGCACAGATTCAATCTAGAAGGTATGTTGTCCGCACACCATTCTGCTTCGGAGTGTCCTTTTTATTGTATTCATTTAGCGTGACATGTGAATGCAACGTTTCAGAGCCTCACAGGACCACTTCCTCCCCAAAGTGTCAGTGATTGAAAGTGCTGTACATCCTTAAATACTCAGTACATTTACCAAAAAACATGAAAAAATAGAGCTACCACCACCCACTGACATCATAATGACGTCATATTCCCGCCAGAATCATTGTCAAAACCAATTATAAGCTCTTAGTCGCACGGTAACATGCTTCATTGCCACATCGCAGTGGGAGAGTCATATAGTATGCATTGTTTTGATGTTTTCATGTTACCTGATGATCTAGGAGTTAATGATCCTCTGATCGGTGTGCTGGTGCCTACCACTGTTGCCGTACAGATTAAAGGCACCCCGTGCCAGATGGGGGCAAAGAAGACCCAAAACATAACCAAGTCACCTTCATGTTTCACAGGTTCAGTGCAAAGGTTCCGTGCTCATTTTTGTCTAGGGAGCTAAAATATGAAAGTTATATTCACCTGAACCACAAACCTGGCATGCTCTTAGACTGATCACTTCATCTGTATTCAACTTCCACTCCAGCGGTCTAAGGTCCTGTGAGCCATCATATTCTACACAGTGTATAGGACGTGAGGACGTCGAACCATCGCTGAAGTGGAGGAGGAGACAGACTGGAGGGAGCAGTGTAGAAGCCAGCTGTAATTGTGATTCAAGTGAATATAACTCTGTTATTTTAGCTCCCTAGGCAAGATGAGCAATTAACACTGGCAGTACAGGGGTAGCTCCACTGCAAGGGTTAAGATTTCATTTTCCTGAAGTTCCGCTTTAAATGCCAAAACAAAGCACAGACATTAAGTGTTGAAATGCATACAAGGGACACAGGCATCTTGCTCAAGGCTTCTAATTTCATTAAGCCCTTACTGCAGAGCATCAGTCCACCCTACTGCTTTTCATGATCCATCCCCTAGGCCACTGCTGAGGACATTTTTCTGACATTCACAGAAGTGTAGCATTTCGAAGAGTTACATGAGGCTTCAGCCTTGGAACAGAGGGAATTTAGGAGACATGGGGTCATCGGAGAAGTGATTATAAGCACACTTCTATTGCAGAGACATTTATAATGTATTTTTTGCAAACCCGTCCCATTGAAGTAAAACCTCCAGACCGTACAGTAAAAGCTCCGATCTCAGTATGTAACGCCATACAGCATAATTCTGCATAATCTAGTTTTTCTGGGCCTATTTTCATGGGTACTTGTTTTTATTTAGTGGCTGGCTGAAGGGGGTGAGATAAAATAGGTTTGTGCTAGATAACATTTTGGGCCACTTTAGAAGTTATGCACTTTGCACATCATTATTACCCTTTCCAGTGTAAGAGTGTAAAAAATGAGTCTCCACTGCAGACGGATCCATGACGCTATAAGCCAATATGCATAATATTCTGTGGCCAGATTGGAAAGTAATATTTAGTCCATGTGGCCAACAAGGATCTTGATGAAGATGAAGTTGATGAAGTGTGGGACACTCATAGTGTGTTGCTGTTAACACCGATGAAGTGTGAGAACCTTGCACCGCCTGGCTGTTTTCTTTATAACAAGATTTTATTTATGCTTTTAAAAAATACATAATAAAACAGATTAAGACGAGAGAGCTGGGCACAGTCATACTCTACCATTTCCAAATAAAATACCTCAAAATACAGATTTAAAGGTACATTGCAATTAAACTTGAACATTTAGAGGGCAAATAGACCACCTGCTTGAGGCCTTTGTTTTTCATTGTTACATCAAGACATTCTGTTGTTTAAAGAATCCTTTTTTGTGAACACCTAATCCTTTGCTTTCTATAAGCTCCAGGTTTTGGTGTTTAAATATTATTCATGCAAATACGGTACTGAACTGACAAGCCTAAAATAAGTCCTCTGCTTCTCACCTTAATCAGAATATTGTTTTCTCATCCCTCTGTCCGGCTTTAGTTCACCAAAAGGAAATGTCCCTCCATTGTCTACATGTGGTTCGGGAGGTGATAGTCTATCTCTCAACCTCAGCTTTTCACAAGGACTGATTCCTTTTGTATTCTGGATTCTGCTGTACCCGGTAAAGGTACACCAGCTTTTCTGTTCACCATCTGTAGGTGACTCCGGTAGACCATCATACAAACTTATGGTCTTAAGGATCAGGTTCTACCCTGTTCTATAAAGGTGCACTTTACTAGATCTGTAAGTGTTTCTCGCTCATTCGGCATCATGCATCTATTTTTCTTTCTTGTGTTTTACCAGATGGATATTCAGGCCTCATCTCTTGCTAGCTTCAGGATTAGTGACTTTGTTTAGATAAACTTATGTAATGTCATGACATTTATTTCCATCCAGATTTGCATTCTTTTTTCACCAAGATCTTGTAGTGATGATTGAAGAATCAGACCACTGTGTAATGTCTTCTCCAGCACATCCCAAAGATTCCCAATGGTGTCTGGACTCTGTGGTGGCCAATCCATGTGTGCAAATGATATCTAGGGCTTCCCGAACCATTCTTTCACAATTTGAGGCTGATTAATTCGGGCATTGTCATCCTGGACTATACCCAATGTGCCATCAGGGAAGAAAAAAAACATTGATGGATAAACCAGGTCATTCAGTATATTCAGGTAGGCTGCTGATCTCATTTTTGGGCCCATTACATGGCTGAACCTAGACCTGACTAACTGAAGCAACCCCAGACCATAACACTGTCCACAACGGCTTGTACGGTAGGGCATAAACATGATGGATGCATCACTTCATCCACCTCTCTTCTTATCCTGATTTGCCCATCACTCTAGAACACAGTACATCTGGACTGATCAGACCACATTACCTTTTGCAATGCTCCAGAGTCCAATCTTTATAATCCCTAGCAAATTGAAGCCTTTATTTCCACTTAGCCTCACTGATGAGTGGTTTTCTTAAGACTACACAGCTGTTTAATCCCATTCCCTTGAGTTCTCTTTGCATTGTGCGTGTGGAAATGCTTTTACTTTTACGATTAAACATAAACGTGATATTCACTGATTTTTTACGATTTCATTTCACCAAACCTTTAAGCGATCTCCAGTCACAACCATTCAAGATTTGGTATCTTTCCAGGTTTTAATAATGCGTTGGGCAGTTCTTAAACCAATTTTAGTAATTTCAGTACTCTCCTTCGTTGTTTTTTTTTTGCAGTGATTATCCAATGGAAGGCATATTTGCTTCACTACAATCCAGGCCAGGCTGTGTGTTTTCATACATCCTGCATAGGTTAATAGCAGTGTTTATACCAGGCATAAAGCAAGTTTGATCTTGGTGTATTATTATGAAGAAGGATATCAGCCTCCAGGAATCACATTGTTGTGCGTCTTTACCAGGCTTAGGGGTCAAGATGATCAAAACCTCCTGCACGGGCAAAGGCAACATGCCTCTTTCTTCAAAGAGTGGGTGGGGGAAGTGTTGTAGATTCACTGTCATCAATAGACATTAGGGCATCTAACATAGCACATTGTTTACAAGCAAGATGGGGTGTGGGGGTGTCCAAAAGATAGGTGTCAGTCTCTGACTGTGGCAATTGGGAAACTGGTATAGAATGCACTCATTAATTGTATTCGCTCATAGTGTAATTAATCTCCAGGGAGGGTGCGTAACAAGCGTATCATTGGGCTTACTTATGGATGTAACAGTGGGGGAGGAAGTATAGTATTTAGCCATTCAGGTCAACATAGATCGTGTTCTATGCCTCTGCTCAAATACAGCTTATTTTGCAAAAAAGCATTTACTTCAAGTTCGCTCCATATAAACAAACTCTTGTTGTCGAAGGGCATTACCCCAAGCTAGGTTAAGAGATTCAGAGGGGTCATTAAGATATGCTGCTTCAGCAAGAGGGGCCTGTGAGGCCTAGTCACGAATGCGACTCTGGGACTGCCTGTGAAGGTGAGAAACTATACTAGTTGTTATACCACAGGAGTATGCTTTAACGCTTTTGCTGCCAGGTTCTGTGCTCCACTTTTAACCTCAGGTGGCCTGACAATTTTTGCAATTTTTTTCACTTTTTTTACTTACAACTTTCAGAGTTTGTAGAAGATGCCTGGAACCATTAAATTTTCTGAAAGCACAGGGCCGATAGAATAAAAAGATGGTTCTACTCATTTTGTAGGTTTTGTAAATTTTGTCGGTTGCGGGATAGTTGTGGAAATCTTTATCAAATACAATATAACTTTAAAAATTCCTGGTAAATCCAAACGATAAAACTGTATTGCAGTATTAAATAACAAATATGTTCCTTTTTGTGCAACAACAAAAGTTGAATGTACACAACACTGTAAATAAG